CAAAGTTCTTTGACTCAGTAAATCACTTCAGTAATAATATTGCAACCAGAGACACTTGTTACACCATAGAATTCGTGGGGTCAGATCTTCATCTAATTGTGAATTCTTTACAGCACTCCTGTAAAGACATTGGTCATCCATCTCTGAAGATTTCTAATGTTGGAGAACCTATCCTTCTGAAAAAGAGGGAGCCCATTCTATTTTCAGGCAGGTCTACATTGCACTTGATAAAAATCTGTCCCCCTGGAACCGCCATTCATTCATTCTAGTTTTGCTGCAGAACAAGGCTAGGCTGACACGCTCAGCTGTCATCATCCCCCCATCATTGTTTCAGCAGACAAATTGCCCCTTTACCCATTCTCATCCCCAGGGTCATCCTTGCCTGAGTTGACTCCAGTTTGTCAGTGAGCCTCACTACGTGAGACATCCGGATTGCAGTCAGAACTCAAACTAATTCTGACTAATCAAAATTATATCCCGTCCTTTATCAGAGCACCGCTGCACATCTGTTGGATATGTTCTTTGGGCAGCCACGGGGAATCTTCAACTTGTATTGAACTTAGTCAACAAGAGGTGTGGTGAGTGTGATATTCAGTCACTGTTGGCCAGCCTGGACTACTGCACTCCCAGGTCAATGAAACCTCAAAGTGATCTGCACAAAATTTCACTTCTACAAAAATTGTTTGTTGTGACAAATACTTTATCCAAGCTTGCATGGAGGTTTTCATTCCTCTCATGTAAAAGAAGTACCATCTTTTCTTCTGCATGTACAGAAGTGGTTGATTTTGTTTTGTTTCCTTAAGTTTTGATCCAGTGACAGTTAATCAATGAATGCTCAAAGAGGCAAAAAGAAAGCCAGACTCCTCCCAGGCATAATCTCACATTGATCAGTTATTTTACAGTATAACCCCAGGATCTTTCTAATTGACAATTATGTTTGACCACAAAAATCAAAAGCTATTTGATGTTAACTAAATGACTAAAATAGACTGATACATTGGAACTAATGATATGCTACCATTCCTTAAAACTTCCTGGTTCTTAAATAATTAATATTTAAGTTTGCCCTGGTTCATATAAAAATTTTTATTTTTCAGTTTTATAATAAAACAATGAAGAAAAAATTGTCAAATATACTTTTGAGAAAACATTTTATTTATTTATTTATTTATTCCTAGAAATGGGAGTCTCGCTCTGTCACTCAGGCTGGAGTGCAGTGGTGCAACGATGGCTCACTGGAACCTTGAACTGCTGGGCTCAAGTGATCCTCTCGCCTCAGCCTCCTGAGTAGCTGGGACTATACATGTCGTCACCGTACCTGGCTATTTTTTTTTCTTTCTGAGTCAGAGTCTTGTTCTGTCACCCAGGCTGCAGTGCAATGGCACACCCATGGCCATCACAGCCTAGACCTGCTGGGCTCAGGCGATCCTTCCACCTAACCCTTCCAAGTATCTGGAACTATAGGCATGCGCCACCTCACCCAGCAAATTTTTTGATTTATTGTAGAGACAAGGTCTTGCCAAGTTGCCTAGGCTGTTCTCAAACCTGTGGACTCATGCAATCCTCTTGCCTCAGTCTCCCACTGAGATTACAGACGTGAGCCACCCCTCACCCCGGCTTATATTTTTTTTCATTTTTACTTTTTGTAGAGACGGGGTCTCGCCATGTTGCCCTGACTGGTCTTGAACTCCTGGCCTCAAGCTATCCTCCCACCTCGACCTCCCAAAGCACTGAAACTATAGGCATGAGCCATCATTCCCAGATGAGAAAACATTTTAAAATATAATTTTTGGAGATTAGTGAAGAGGCTAGAAGCCTCCTCCCAAAAGATGTGATTTTTGTGTTAGGATTTTCCTTCCTCCTCATTCTGACCTGAGCCAATCTGTAGAGACAAAGAAACCCAAGTTGCTATCTAATGAACCCAATCTTCTCATTTTACAAGTGAGTTAAAAATAACTTGCTCCAGTTCCCAGAGATAATGGCAGCTTCTAGCACATACCTCTGTTCTTCCAAACCACTGACACAGAATGTCACTGTTGAAGGTTAATTCAGTGGCAAGAGATTGCTCTAGTATGGGCTTGTTGAAAAAAACATCATGGAGGAGCTGAAATTGAAAAGAAGTAAACACTTTCTTTAACCAGATCTTACTTTTCCATCAAAATAACACATGCTAGAATTAGAAAATTTGGAAAATGCTAAAAAAAAAAAAAAATACAAGGAAGGGTGATAAATAAATTACTCATATTCGCATCTCATAAAAGCAGCACTCTTGGGGCATTTTTCTACAGTCTTTTTCCCCAGTACATTATTGTTGTTTTTCTATCATTGTGATTATACTACTTAACAAGGAACATTATAATTCAAGGACTATTTGATGTTATAACAAACTACTCATAAACATCATTTTAATTTCTACATATCAGTCCATTATAGAGGCTTTGCCATAATTTTCTTAACTTGCTCCTATTTTTTGAGTAATCAAGTGGAAGGGGAAGATTTAAGTGAAGAGAGGGAAGGTATCTAGAAGAAGAATATGTATTTACAGCAGACCAAAGCACCAAAATATTGACAGCATGTATATTTCAGCGATTGATTAAGGAACTTGCAAAAGGGCATTGATGGAGCAAGAATTTCATCCCAGATGCTCCTGAGGGGAAAGCTGCTGCCTTTCACCACCACACTGTGTAACCCAAGGTTCTTCTGAGTATGAACTATTGTTATCATCAAAGAGCTATTCTTAGAAATAGAAACGGATTGCAAATAATAGCTCTTTTCTATGTAAGTAGATAACTTGTTACACGTAGAGTATTAAAAAAAAACTATCAAAATCCAAGAACAGATCATCAATAAATAAAATCCCCTCGGTCGTGTCTAAAATGCTTAAAATTCAAATCTGTTTCAGGTTTCTCTAAAATTCATTTAAAGTGGGACGGGGGAGGGAAGCAGTGTTAATTGCAGCTACGTGAATGAAGTCTGGATTCTGAGACTGGATGAAAATTGATTATGCTAAAAGTAGTCTTCTGTAATTAAATGAAAACTATGCTGTGCACTTTAATTAGTCAGCAGTAACTCATTTTAAGTGGTAACAATGAGTCCTGGTGTATCTCATTAAATGAGAGCCTGGAAGTCCACCTCAGCTGAGGTTCTATCTGTTTTCCACAGCAGTCTTATTTATACATCTGCTGCTCTGATTTCAAGCTGCAGAAAAGGTGATGCCTTATTTTGTAACTCAGATGTACACCTTATAAAATCCTCCTCATTCTTTCATTCAAAAGACTTGTAATATGCTTTTGATTCCAAGGACTCTTGCTAGGCAAATGCATCTGTCTTAGAAGGTATGTACAGTCATTGGCCTCTCTCATCACCCAGTGGGAGTGTGGGAAAGTCAGTAAACATTATAAAGTTCATTTGAGAGATGTGTCTTCCATTCTAATGCAGGCATAAACTGCCTCTTTGAAAAGCTATTAAAAAAACGAATCCCCCAAATTTTCTCTAAACTCCTCAGTGTCCAATAATTTAGATTTCCTGGTAGTAATAAAAAGGAGAGATGATTTACTTTTTTTGTTGTGTTTAACTTTATCTTTTAATTATAAAAGCAAAGTATATTCATTATAGAAATTCCAGAAAGTAGGAAAATATAAAGAAGCAGGAAAAATATCCCCCATGACCTCTCCATTCAAAGACACATTTCTATTAACATGGTAGCCTGTTTCCTCCTACTCTTCTATCTAGCCTTTGTTTCTGTATATTTGAGATCATTCTGTTCACACCATTTGGTGTTCTACTAGAAAAATCCATTAGAAAAGAAAGTTTGAATGTTATTCCTAACCTTAACATGGATGCTTCATGGTCATTCCATGTGCTTCCAGCATCTCAGACACAGATTGTCAGGACACCTGCTGCTCTGAGTCTTTGTTGAGGGGATGTCTCTGCCAAGGGACAGAATCCATTTCTGTGAAAAGAATGAGTGTTCTGGGCATTAAAAAAGGAGAGGAGGGGTACCTGCATGATCAATGTTTGTATACCTAACCCTGAATTGTATCCCACATCTTTACATTGGAAAAAAAAAAAATTTAAGTCAATAAATAAATAAAGGAGAGCAAGACCTACCCCTTATTTAATAGCCTGGGATAATCACACTGGACTGGTTCTTATCCCAGGAATATTTGTATCCAAAAGAACAAGGCCATAATTACCATTCAGAGTAATCCTGAAGAAGACAAGGACAACCATCACCCAGGCAGCCAGGAGGGATTAAAAGGTGCAGATAAACCTCAGGGCAGGTTGATGGTGTGTCGACACATCACTGGACTTAGAATCAGAGAAATGAGATTTTCAGGTGAAGAGTAGGAACCTCAGTCTCAGCCTCAAGAATACTCATTTTTTTGTTTTCTCTAAAGAACATAAAGAGGTTTCCAAGCTGTCAGATACTTTAATCTCGGGCATGAAATCTTGAAGGCTTGCATAGGGCCAGAAAACAAGGACAGGGTCCACAGTCCTGTCTGTCGTGGTGACAGCTAACAGCCATCCAAGTCCAGAGTGGTTGCTTGATATTCAGTTTCTCTCTATTCCCCTGCCATGTGGAGATAGGGGTTTAAGCCAGCCCCCTACTCCCAGTCACATCTTTAGTCATCCTCTCTGAGATCAGGCCAGTTTGTCTGGAAAATATCTAAAAGCTAAGCACCAGTCTCTCACTAATCAGAACCCACTACCCTCCATCTCTTTCCCCACCCCCTAGAAAGTTCCCCTATGTCTCTCAAATTTTTTAAGATACCTGCTCCTTCCTCCTCCCCCTGGGCCACCCGAAGTATCCAAGTATCCTTGAAGTATTCTCTTCAAGCTCGGTAAAATAGAAGTCAACCAGGGACAACTCTTGCAGAAAAATTTCTGACTATAAGGAAAGAAATCTCACAAAGTGATCTTTTTCAAAAAATTATTCTGTTGAAGGAAAGACCTTGAAGAGAATCCAGTCAGGTTCACACCAGCGTTCTTCATTCTTTAGCACCAGGAGGGCACGTTTGCCATGAGCTGATAAGCGTGGGCTGGGAAGCCAGATGGGGTTCAGATTCTGTGAATTCTAGCTCTGGGACCACCACACTCAAGACTCAGTTTTCTCCTAACACAGTGCTTGGCACAGAGTCGGATCAACTAATGTCACTTTATCTTTTCCACAGCTGGCTGTCTTCTCAAGTCACTGCCCAGCCTGCTGCAAAGCAGTTGCTCTGATTCCTCATATCCTAGGAGCAACTCTGGGAGAGGCCCTCCTTCCTCAAATGTGTGCCGACTGCCCACACTTGAAACTGTATATAAGTAGTGGATTTTTCGCTGAATTTGGCATCTATGATCCTAGTCCTTTAGTTGGTAGTTATTTTTCTGCTGGCTAAAGTCACAGCTAATCCACTTCAACACTTTGACCCCTGAGTACCCTCCAGAAGCTCTTCAACCATGAGTATCATTGGATGTGGCCAGTTGAAACATTTTCCTCTTCCTCAGAACTCACTTCGATCTCTTAGGAACACTGTCTTCTGGGAATAAACCAGATAATGTAGCATGTTCTTAAATCACTCTCTCTTCATTTTCCCTGTCTCTAGTCAGATACAGAGTTTTGGGATAAGATGCAAGCAGAATGGGAAGAAATGGCCCGGAGGAACTGGATCTCTGAGAACCAAGAAGCCCAGAACCAAGTTACAATCTCAGCCAGTGAGAAGGTAACCAGTTCCATTCCTGTACATGCTGAGCCATTTTCTCAACCTTTTTTGGATCCTATTTGATAGATCAGTCAACAACTACTTTGTCAAAAATCCAAGAAATTTAAAAGACAATTTAATGTCAATCTGACCTAGAAGAAATTCTGATAGAATGAAACAATATCATTATCCAGGGTGTGGAGGCAGCCAAGCTGGAATGAAATGCTCTTATTTGTATCAGTGTTCAGACAGACAGTTTGGCAGCCAACCAGAACTTGGATCCTGACTGCTAGCTGGTTAGTGAGAGGACTGACATCGGTGGTGGGTTGGAACAAGATTTGGTCTCACCTCACAATGCTCTGTCAGCCAGGCACGAGAGTCCTGCTGACGTGCTCACAACAGAGTTGATATGAATGGCATGGGAATGAAGCAGGGGCTTAGGACTATATCTCACCAGTGGGCACTATACAGCTAGCAAGGATCGCCAGTGGAAAATGTACTCTTAACAACCAGGTCACGCCCTAAGGGATAGGAGCCCTGGCAGGTACATAAGGGCAGTGAACAACCAGCCAAATTACTCAAGTGCCAGTTGCTCCAGGATTTAAAAAACACTTAGTGAGAGAGGGGAGACACTGAGGAATGAGTATAGGTTACTTGAAAGAAGAAAAATGTAAAATATTTTTACATATACAAGTATATATAATTTTTAAAATATATTTTTTGTGGTAGAGGAAACTTCAATAATATTCATTTCTGGATAACTTCCATGACATTTTGTTAATCCAACAAATATCTACTGAATATCTACTCTTACACTAGGTACTAGGGATATAATGATGAAAAACATCACTAATTTCAGGGGATTTTTAGGTCATAATCATTAAAATGTCTTCCTCTGCCCCCTAGTATTTTTTGTCCTTCCATAGTCCAGGCAGTCTCATAAAATCGGAACAACCTCATTTAAAATAACTGTGTTTTCCACAAAAAAAGTAAAGCAAAGCTGTGTGAGAAGAGAAGACATTAATGCAGATCGTCATCATCAGACTCTGGGCTGTGATCGTGCACCTGAGGCCTGGCTGGGCTAGGCAGCCTCTCACTCCTAGGACCCCTTAGCTCCCACATAAGCTGGTCATTTCTTGTAATGTGGAGTTTTGTCTCTCTGAACACCCATGGAAAATGGAGGCCTCCACTTGATCTGTTTTGAAACCTTAGTAACACCATCAACAGATTAGATTGTTTGTATCTACCAAATTTAAAGGATTTTGTGAGAATCTACACTAGAAAGATTGCAACAAATAATATCTCTCAGATACTTCAGGTGAGCATTTAAGTTGGAACAAACTTTCTCAAAAACAATTCAGCTACACATCACAACAGTTCGTAGCCTCTTACCTAACACATTCCCCTAGGAGTCTATCCTAAGATAATAAGCAAATGCAGACAAGGATTTGAGCCTGAGGTTTTCACTATAGCTTTATTTATGATAACATAAACTTTAAGATAACCTGAATGTTCATCAGTAGGGGATTGGGTAAATAGACTTAGCATATCCATATCAATAATGTTAATAATATAGAGAAGTAATCATAATATAAAATTGGGTAAAGGCCAAGGTACAAGACTGTACATATAGTATGAGCCTATTTGTTTAATTTTTATACTCACAGAAAGTGCTAGATCATTATTTATATATTCTATATTGTTTAGATTTTTGCAATAAAAGATCTCTAACTTTAAAACATGCACTGTCAGCCGGACTCAGTGGCTCAACCTGTAATCCCAGCACTTTGGGAGGCCGAGGCAAGCAGATTGCGGGTTCAAGACCAGTCCAGGCAACTTGCCGAGACCTCATCTCTACGACAAATTAAAAAATAAAAAAAAAATTAGTGGGCCTGGTAGTCTGCACCTGTAGTTCTGGCTCCTTGGAAGGCTGAGGCGGAAGGATTACCAGAGCCCCTCAGGTCGACATTGGGATGGCCGTGAGTGTGCCACTGCACTCCAGCGTGGGTGACGGCATGAGATTCCAACTCAAAAAAAAAAAAAAAATGCATTCTCAACAGGGACGATATAACCTTGATGGGGCAAACACTGGAGTGGAGGTCAAAAAAAAAGAAATCTTAGATATCACTGTGGCTTAGTGACTTGTAGCTCTCCAAAGGGAAACAGTACATTAACAGATATACAGTATGTGGTGTTAACATCTCAGGGGGACTGGGGGCAGCACTGAGCAAAAACATGTCTAAAGAGTCAGTATATTAAAAATATTGATGGGAAATGGTTAAAACAAAAAACTAAAAAAATCAGAAGGAAAACAAGCTCCAAAATATTAGCAATGATCATATTAGGTTTTAGCATTGTGGATAACTTGTTGTTTATTTTTATATTATTTAGTATTATCTAACATTTATGCCACAAAAATGTAATATGTAATAAATAATTAGGATAAATTAAATTTTAAAGAGAACTTACTGAATGTGAGAATGAAGAGAGAACTCAATGGATCATGTCTTCTCCCTTCTCTGTGCTGTAGGGATATTACTTTCACACTGAAAACCCCTTCAAGGACTGGCCGGGAGCATTTGAAGAAGGCTTAAAAAGGCTGAAGGAAGGGGACCTGCCAGTCACCATCCTGTTCATGGAGGCAGCAATTCTTCAGGATCCTGGAGATGCAGAGGTGCCATTCTCCCCTCATTCTGCCAGACTCGGATAGCGCATGTGCTGATGAGGGACCAGGGATGAAACAGAGCTCTGCTGGGTGGCATTTCATTAAGTAAAGGTTCCCAAAGGAGTTAACCTAGCTTAGTCTATTTATTTGAAAGTCACAAAAAGAGACTTGTTTTCTAAACAGGTTTCTAATCTGCAGAATCTACAGTGCCCAAAAATAAACGTTGGGCCAGGAAATGGAAACTCAAAATTACCAAACTTACTCACCAGTAGTTTTCAGGAGGTAACTATACGCTTATAGTTATGTCCAAGTCTCCACCATACATCACCCTTAATTTACTCACTCAACATTTAATGAGCATTTACTGTGTCCCAAAATTACCCCACATCCTGGCTTAAAATATTGAAAAGCTGGAAAAATTTAAGAGTTGAAAAGTCGTGTTTGTGGTATCTCTGGGAGACAAGTACATACACCAGTATAGTGTCATAAGCACAGTGTCCCAAGAAGTACAGGCTGCTAGGAGAGCACAGAGCAGGACACCACACTCAGCCTTCCTGGACAAGGAAATCCAATGCTGAGTTTTGAAGGAAGGAGGGTGAAGACAATGGAATGCACAAGTTGTTAAGAGGGAATGGACCACAAGGCAGGCAGAGGGGTATGAAGCATCCATGGGGTGGGAGAGGGGAGAGGAGAATGATGGAGGGAGGCAAGAGGTAGGGAAGAGTTTGAACTTCATCTGAACTTCATCTGAAAGCCATAGGAAATCACTAGAGAGTGCTACCCAGGCAAGCCGTACCAACAGATTGCGTTAGAAAAACCCCTTTCTCTGAGATGGGAATGGTGATTGGAGAGAAAGGCTGGGAGACCACCGAAGAGCTTCTGCAGTCCTACCTTAGTTCACTAAATTTCTAAACCTGTGAAGGCCTATAATAAGACAGTGGCAGTATAAAGGCTTCTTATTTAGTTTGTAATTATCAGGAATCATCTTAGAAGGGATATTCCCAAAGGAATTTGCAGAAATGTTAGAGATAAGTATATGCGGTACTGAGAATACAATGTAGAATAGTGGTTAAGCTGCCAGTCTCTGCTCTTCTAGTGTGTAGGTTCAAATCTCTGCTCTACCTGTAAGTCATAGGACCTGGGACAAGTCATTTAAACCCTCTGTTTCAGTTTCCTTATCTGTAAAATGGAAATCATAATAGTAACTATCTCATGGGTGTTGTGAGGGTGAAATTAGTTCACACAGATAAAATGCTTAGCTCAGCGCCTGGCACATCAATATTTAGCCTTCATTTTTCTTATTTATTATACTTAGTTTGTAAAGAAAGAATGAGTAAACGGATCACTAGTAAAATCTCCCAATATCTTGTTGGTCAAAAGGTATACAGTGAAATAATATTAAACCGAGAGGTGAAATTCTGAATCAAAACATTGGAATTTTTGAAAGATATATGAATCATTGTAGAAGAGGAATTTATTGCATTAATATGAAACTACAGGCCACCCTCCCAAAAACAATAATTATGTCATCTTACATTTGCAAATGCTATGTATTTTATAAGGTGTTTCCATTATCTTATTCGACACAACAGCCCTAGGAGATAAAGTAACAAAGTATACATTCTTATCCCAGATTCATAAATGAGAAAAGTAGGGTCTTTGGTAACTCATGGATCCCAGGCAAGGACCTAGGGCATATGAATCTATGGAGACCTCAAGGCTAAGAAAATAACACTACAGAGAGAGAAAATAACACTATGGCCAAAGGCTGGGAAGAAGCTCCCAGGGAAAGACTGCTTCATCCATCTTTTCCTAGGAAGCAGTCTAAGTTACAAGGAGAATAAAATCAAAATAAAGGCTGCTTATGTTATTTGAAATAGTAAAAAGAATCACCAGTATTCTCTGGGGAAATAATCAGTATTTTTGTGCATTTATAAGGTAGATGTAATAATAGCCCATGAAGGAAAAAGCCAATACAATTCGAATGGTGCTTTAAGGTGACTCTTGTGTGCTTTCCTAAAGTTTTGTTTTTAAAATATCTGTAGCTTTGATTTCAAGGGTAGGAGAGTTATTCACTCTCCAAATATTTTAAGTCCCTAAGACCCTAATAGACCCCCCAAACCCAGTAAATCTGAGGACAATGTGTGTAATGAGAGCTTTTTCTCATATGTATTACTCTTGCAATGGTGTGAGAGTTATTGTTCTTACAAGTATGTAGATAGAAATGTGCTACATTAAAACTTCTAGATATGAAAAAAAGTTATCTGCTTGAAGACGTTCTTCATATTGTTTACAATAGAAAAGAACTGCAAACAACTTAGAGTAATAAGGGAGTTTGGGTAAATAATGGGATATTCATTCAACAAAATTCAAATTACAAATTATGAGGACTGTGTAAAAACATGAAAAAGGACTTAAGATACAATAGAAAATATGTGTAGATCATAAAATTATATATGCCTTATGGTTGTGTTTTATGTGTTTTTATACATTGTAACAGTGATTACATTTCAGGGGTGAACACATTGTAGGAGATTTGGGGTTTTTTTTTCTAGTTCCTAAATTTTCTGTGAACTCTTCTAGTAACTGACTTTTATTTATACAAGCTAAGTTCACATCCATGTTGAGATTCCTTGTTGTGAACTTTATACTGTTTAGCTACATTTCTGGGTAACTTTTAACCCCTTTATCTCTCAATTGTGTAATTTTATATATCACGAAATCTCAGAAATTCAGAGGTTTCAACAGCACTGGGTTACAGGAAAGGATGAATACTGAAAGAGTTTGGAAATAATGACAGATGATCTTGACCCAGATGTCACAGGAGAGCTTGAATGAAGAAATGCATATGATATTTTTTCCTTTTCCATAGTTCTCATATTGGAGACAGGTTGCTCTGCATAAAGGAACCATGACAAGCTAACAAATCAGCTAACATGCCTGAGTAATTCTGCTTATCTTTCAGTATTAACATCAGTTATTCTTTGTAGGCCTGGCAATTTCTCGGGATAACCCAAGCAGAGAATGAAAATGAACAAGCAGCTATTGTTGCCCTCCAGAGGTAGGTGAAGCTAAGTGCAAAATCATGGGTCTTGTGGACACTTGTTAATGGACTTTCCATGTTTCAGATCTTTCCATGTTTTGATCCTTATTGATTACAGTGTAGAGAATTTGGCCGGGATAAGTGCAGAGATACTGCATGTCATTCACACTTAGTTCTGGAGGACAAAAGCCTAAGATGAAATAACCTTCCTAAATCGCAACAGTTTGCTCTCTACAAATTGATTGACATTCGCTGACACCAAAGGAAGTCTATGTTAAAAGCAGTTGTGAAATAGACTCATTGAACAAATTGTTCCTTTTAACTTTCTTTCTTTCTTTTTTTTTTTTGAGTTGGAGTCTCACTCTGTCACCCAGACTGGAGTACAGCCTCCAGTCTGTACTCCAGCCTCACCTGCTGGGCTCCAGCGATCGATTCCGCCTCAGCCTTCCGAGTAGCTGGAATTACAGGCATGCACTACCACACCTGGCTGATTTTTTGATTTATTGTAGAGATGAGGTCTCGCTGCCCAGGCGGGTCTCGAACCCACGGGCTTAGGCAATCCACTCACCTCAGCCTCCCAAAGGCGTGGGATTACAGGCTGAGCCACCGAGCCCGGCTCCTTTTAACTTTCTAGCCTGCTGCAACATCTGGAAGTTTTGTTCAAGAAAAACATATGCAAAATACTGACTAAAGGTCTAGACTACTTTGAGGGGTGGGGGGACAGTGGCTGAATGTAACATCACACATTATTCGATTAGAAATCCTATTTAAACCCTAGAAATATGACCTCTACCAAATAAACTTCCTCTTTCCCTGCATTTTCTTGTACATCATTTTAGTATAGTGCTATGAAAAGAGAATATATAGGCATAAATCCACACCACGTCTTATTTAAGACATATGTATATGTGTATATATAATGTGTATGTATATAAATCCCAGAACTTTGGAATCTTAAAATGTAATAATTCTAGGGCTGCCGGGCTCGGTGGCTCAGCCTGTAATCCCGCGCCTTTGGGAGGCTGAGGTGAGTGGATTGCCTAAACCCGCGGGTTTGAGACCCGCCTGGGCAGCGAGACCTCATCTCTACAATAAATCAAAAAAATCAGCCGGGCTTGGTAGCGCATGCCTTTAATTCCGGCTACTCGGAAGGCTGAGGCAGAAGGATTGCCGGAGCCCAGCAAGTCGAGGCTACAGTGGCCGGGAGCGACCACTGCACTCCAGTATGGATGACAGAGTGAGACTCCAACTCAAAAAAAAAAAAAAAAAAAAAAATTCTAGGGCTTTGCAATCTTTGAATCCTAGATTTTAAGATTCTGTTGGTATCTGATGATGTGATGGTGCCTGAAATATTGTCCTGCCTTGAAAGCCTTCTCTTATAGATGAGAAAATCGAGGATCAGAAAAGGTCAAGGTCACACAGGTATTATGTAACAGAGACAGAACCTAAACCCTTATCTTCTGACTCCAGACCTAGAACTCTGTGTCATTGGTTCTTAACCCTTCATATGTATGCACAATAGAATCATCAAAAAATAAAAAAATAGGGCCAGGTGTGGTGTGGCTCAAGTCTGTAATCCTAGCACCTTGGGAGTTCAAGACCAACCTGGGAAACTTGGTGAGACCTCATCTCTAAAATAAATTTAAAAATTAGTTGGACATGGTAGTGTGTGCCTATAGTTCCAGCTACTTGGAAGGCTGAGGCAGAAGGGTTCAAGACCAACCTGGGAAACTTGGTGAGACCTCATCTCTAAAATAAATTTAAAAATTAGCTGGACATGGTAGTGTGTGCCTATAGTTCCAGCTACTTGGAAGGCTGAGGCAGAAGGATCACTGGAGCCCAGCAGGTCTACCCTGGGGTGACCGTGAGTGTGTCACTGCTCTCCAGCCTGGGCGATGAGGTGAGACTCCAACTCAAAAAATAAAATAAAATAATAAAAATACAAAGATGCCCAAGCACACCCTGGAGTTTATGATTTAATAGGTTGGGGCTGGGACTTAGCCTCAGTAGTTTTAAAAATTTCCCCAAGGTTTTCTAATGTGTGTCCAGAGTTAAAAACTCCTCTGTCCAGTACAGATAAGTTTTGGAGATTAGAACCACCACAAAGAGGGATTAGGGAACTTTTTAGGGCTTTCTACTCAAAGTCTTATCCAGGAATTACATGATCCCCTGGGAGCTTGCCAGGCTTGCACAACCTTGAGCTCCACTCGATGTACCAAAATGCAAATTCTACAAGATGCCCAATAATTCACATGCACCCAAAGGTTGAAAAGCCCTTGTTAGAGACTGGTGAAATGGAATGATGGGGAGCCACTATAGCCTGTTTCTCCTGTAAACCCACATCGGTTATCTGGAAACACAGGGATCTCCTTCTCCTTTACAAAATGCTGTACAGTCTTTTATCTCTAGATGTCCAAATCCAAGTCAGTTTTCTTTGGAAATGAGGTGCATTTAATGTATGGATAATAGAGCAGCACTAAAATAATGATATCCTCCACTTCTCATTAGATTATCTACTAATAAATTATGTGCAGGGATGAGCCACACTTCCTGTGGCTAGAATCATTTATTAAAGTTACAAAATCTGGAAGTCATCAGAATGAGTTTTAAGTGTCTTTAAAATATAATTAAGGCCCAATTTTCATGTGGATAAATATGGTGTTTTCCAGAGACTTGACATAAACAAAATTAACAATGCTTTTGTGGTATTTAATTAATAAAGACCTCAAGTTTTCTAAATAATTGACTCTGGTGCCAAAAGACATCTGAAATTGGCTTTTTTTTTTTTTCCAGATGCCTAGAATTACAGCCCAACAACTTGAAAGCTTTGATGGCTTTGGCTGTCAGCTACACTAACACTGGTCATCAGCAAGATGCCTGTGAAGCTCTAAAGAACTGGATTAAGCAAAACCCAAAGTACAAATACCTTGTGAAAAGCAAGAAAGGATCTCCAGGCCTCACCCGACGGATGTCCAAGTCCCCAGTTGACAGGTATCCTTCCCATTATATTACAGCCATCAGGAAACACCCTATGCACAATAAATCGCCTGAAGGGCGATTCAGTGAGCCTCAGATCCTTACCGCAGCCCACTCCAGAAGGGCTTATAGGACAGCATTCTGCTAGAACGGTACCCCTGGTTAGAAAGACAGATGGCAAAACCAGGGCCAACCTTTAGACACAAGATCTACACTGTGGGCACTTACAGACATTTATCTGAGTACTACATTTTAAAGCCAAATGCTTTGGGCATATAATTCACTTAAAGTAAAGCAAAATAAGTACTGAAGCACCCCATTTTATAAAGTCCAAGAACTAGGAATAGGGAATAATGGAAGTCTTGTCTTCTAGAACTTTGTTTTCTAGTCAGCTACAAGTCATGATGTTATTTCTCACGGAAGCTTTGGAAAATCTAGCCGTGGGTTTTTTTGTTTTTTGTTTGTTTGTTTGTTTTTTACAGTGGCACTCAGGGTCAACAGAAGTCTTCTTGTGAAGACCTTACTTAACACAGTCCGTATCTGTGTACAACGAAATATCTTATGAAAATCAGCTGTATTTTAAAAAATTCAATATTAACAGTCCTCTCATTAAGCTCAGATATTTTAAGCAAATTTTTTCCAGTCTGTAATGAAGAGATACTTCTTGAAATAGAGCCAAGAGATTTAATAGTAAATAATCTATGTTCAGACTATTTGGATCACAAATCATTTTTTCCCTTGCAGCTCTGTTCTGGAAGGAGTGAAGGAATTATATCTGGAAGCTGCCCACCAAAATGGAGATATGATCGACCCAGACCTACAGACTGGTCTAGGGGTACTGTTCCACTTGAGTGGAGAATTTAATAGAGCAATAGATGCATTCAATGCTGCCTTAACTGTTCGGCCAGAGGTAAGAAAACACAACACAGCAAGAAACCTTAAGTTTCTCTGTAACAAATTAGTTCTTATAGGCTCAGCACTGTCTACATTTCTTCTGCACTCTCTTTCCCTGCCTGCAATGGTTTAAAGTGATCGGTACTAATGATGTGCTACTGTGGCTGTTAATAACGAAATACCTGTTAATCTCATGACAGTATCAAACGGTAGCTGTCCTTTGATGAATAAGTCATTTCACACAGCTGTCCATAAAGATTGTTGAGATCCTGTCCATGAGCACTGGATAAATTTTTAGCTATCTTCCTCTGCAGAAAAATAAGGGAATACTCTGTCACTGAGGCTTGCACTGGTTGTTAGAGTGCTCTGATTTTGTCATCAGGACTATTCATTGTGGAACCGTCTCGGAGCGACCTTGGCAAATGGAGACCGCAGCGAAGAAGCGGTGGAGGCCTACACGAGAGCCCTGGAGATCCAGCCTGGCTTCATCCGGTCCAGATACAACCTGGGAATAAGCTGCATCAACCTGGGCGCCTACAGGTGAAGTATGGCAGACGGCTGAGGGCGAGCCAGCCCAAGCCCGAGGAAGAACAACCCACAAGGTTGTTTGCAAGGAAAAATAGCTCCCTTTGTGGGGGCATTCCTACTCTTCCCGTGAAGGGTGAATGTGGAACCCTCAGATCTGAGGCCTGTTTCCGCAGGAATCATGTGCTTCTCTGGTTTCTTGAGCTTTAGAGAACAGACGTTATCTAGGCCCAGCCCACCAGCCCGTCCCCTGAGATTGTGACTGAGTCAGCCTCGGTTTAGGACAAGTCACCTGTGTCTTTTAACACTCCCCCGCACCCCACACCCCAAGGGTGGCTCTTTAAGAGACATGATTGGCCAGGCGCGGTGATTCAGCCTGTAATCCCAACACTTTGGGAGGCCTAGGCGAGAGGGTTGCCTAAGCCCAGGGGTTCGAGACCAGGCAACTTGGTGAGACCTCATCTCTACAATAAATCACACACACACACACACACACACACACACACACACAAACTAGCCAGGCATGGTGGCATTTCTAGCTACTTGGAAGACTGAGGCGGAAGGATCACTAAGCCCAGCAGGTCGAGGCTAGTGTCCATGAGCATGCCACTGCACTTCAGCCTGAGCGACAGAGTGAGACTCCAACTCAAAAAAAAAAAGAAAAAAAAGAGACATGATCAGTCTAATCTTCCATGTTTCACTTAAGGAAAAAAAGAACCTTGGGGTCCTGGGCAAGGGCACAATGGCTTCGGAAGGTCCCAGAGCCAGGGCTCAGCAAAGCAAAACCAAGAATCCAGGTTTTCTAAACCTGATGCACCAAGAACGTTGGGGGTGGGGGATAGAAAAAAGGTTGTAGCCTGAAATGCTCTTCTCATTCTCTTGTCATTCAGCATTATCATTCAAGTCTGTATCCTCTCTTTTCTGCATTGCCAGAAACCATAAATGAACTAGCTTGAGTCCTTTGGGGTGATAAAAATATGGATGGTCTTTTACCTTCTTTCTTTTTTCCAATTTTCTAAGTAAGCAGGCATAACTTTCATAATTGGGAAAATAGCAAATGTTGGTTTTCAACCCCAGAAAAAATGTAAACTCTTCCTCATTCTCAGAAAGAGCCAGATTTAATCACCAGACAAAACTGGGTTGAAATCACAGCTCTGCCATTTACTGGTGTTGACTCTGGACATGTAACTTGGAGGTTCAATTTCTTCACTTGTTAAAAAAGAGAGAGAGAGAAATAATAACTATTTTTGCAGTATTATTGTTTAGGTTAAATATAAGAGCCCAGCACAGGGCAGGTACTTCATATTTTGGCACTTGTTATGATGATTATTGTTATTGCCATTATCATTATCCTTATTAGTATTATTTATCAAATCATCAGAGAGCTGCATAGCCTGGTTACATTCTTTTGACAAGAAGAATCGCTGTTTTTGTACTAAAAAAAGCCTTTCAAAGAACATTAGTCGCTAGACTACACCATGTCAAGAGGATTTTCTTAGGCCAAAATCAGGAATAGTGGAGAGACTTCTGATCAAGGGGCATGTTATATTTTATGGCCACTGCAGAGGCCTCTTTTCATCAGCCAGCCAACAGCCCAGAGCTGACTGTGTCCACCTCCCCACCCATCAGCTGTCTAGCCCCCGCAATGCCCATTTTGAATACCGACTTCATTCCTGGGTTCATCTGACTTTCCTGTCCAGGTGTTCTAGTTCCCTTTTTTATTCACTTTTTTTTTCTGGTTATATTGTATGTATGTATAAATGAGACACCACAGTTTCTTTTTTCAAATAAGAAAGATGTAAATAAATGCATACATATATGTAGATGTATTAGATTCAATTAAAGGAGAGTTTTATAAAACTTCTGGATGAGTTTTCCCTAATTGTAACATCTTAGTACAGAAAACAATACTTGAGGGACCAATAAAATACTTTCTTGGCATTCATAGATGTGAAATTCAGCAGGGCAACTGTTTGCAGTAGGCCATGCCAGTCCATGACAAGTAAAAATGGACAACTCTGTTAAGGTGTAAATTTTATTTATTTATTTTTTTTGAGTCAGGGTCTCACTCTGTTGCACAAGCTGGAATGCAGTAGCATGATCACAGGTTACTGGAGCCTCGACCTTCTGGACTCAGGCGATCCTTAAGCCTCAGCCTCCTGAGTAGCTGAAACTACAGGCATGTGCTATCACATCTGGCTAATTTTCTGATTTTTTTGTAGAGACAAGGTCTCACCATGTTGCCTAGGCTGGTCTTGAAACCCTGGGCTCAAGCAATCCTCTAGCCTCGGCCTCCCAAAGTGCTGGGATTACAGCGGTGAACCCCTGTGCCCAGCTTAAGGCATAAATTTTAAATCCTGTACTGAAGCAAGTTAGTTTTAGAGTTGCTGGATAAAATACAGAATTCCCAGTTAAATTTGGATTTCAGATAAACAGCAAACAAGTTTTTAACATAAGTATTTCCCAAATATTGCATGGGATATTCTTGTATAGTCAGCTGTCCATATTTGTGGGTTCCACATCTGTGGATTCTACCAACCATGAATTGAACATATTTAAAAAAAAAAACTGAACACAAAAATACTCAGCAATAAATATAATACAAAATTTTTAAAACAATATACTATAACAGCTATTTACATGGCATTTGCATTGTATTAGGTATCATGAATAATCTAGAGACAATTTAAACTATACCAGAGAGTGCACTTAGGTTATATGCAAATACTGTGCCATTTTATGTGAGACTTGAGTCTCTGCAGGCTTTGCTCTCCTTAGGGGTTCCTGAAACCCCATGGATACATTGTTTATCTGAAATTCAAATTTAACTGTGCATCCTTTCTATTTGCTAAATCTGGTAAAAGTGCTCAATTGGGTACTTTGTAACATCACCACTAAACTTTGTGTGTCTTTTATTATCATGCCAGATGTGGGAACTCTGAGTAGTGGTAAACACTTTGTGATTTTTTTTTTCCCCTGAGAAAAAAGACCATCCAGTGAGTCATGAACCTTAAATGAATTTTGAAAAGAGGTATATCTGAAAGTGTAAATGTATGCTGGAAGTAACAACCCTCAGTAGAGAAAGGACTCAGAAAAAAGCCAGAAGCTGCTGCAAATACTTCCATATCCACAAAAGTCTTGGGACCACTCCCTCAGGAGCTGCAGCGGGTGTCTATGCATGTAGCTATAATACTTGCTGCTTGTCATGTCACATTATCTATAAAAAGTCAAAGGCAAGCCCTGCCCTGGTACCATATACCAAGGGATCCCCAACCCCTGGGGCACGGACTGGCACTGATCCATGGCCTATTAGGAACTGGGCCACACAGCAGGAGGTGAGCAATAGGCAAGCAAGCGAAGCTTCATCTGTATTTACAGTTACGCCCCATCACTGGCATTACCACCTGAGCTCCACTTCTGTCAGATCAACAGTGGCATTAGAGTCTCATAGGAATGTGAACCCTATTGTGAACTGCGCATGTGAGGGATCTAGGCTGTGGCTCCTTACCAGAATCTAATTCCTGATGATCTGAGGTGGAGCTCAGGCAGTGATGCTAGTGCTGGGCAGCGGCTGCAAATAGATTAACATGAGCAGTGAGGTCTGACTGCACAGAGACCATCATAAATCAATTGCTTGAAGACTCATATCAAAACCCTATCAGTGAGTGGCAAGTGAGGTGATGTACTTCAGTTGCACAGGTGCATCCAGTGGCATAATTATTGTATAATTATGCATAATTATGCATAATATAACTTATATGATTATATTGCATAATTATGTATAATTATTTCCATATAAATTACTTCACATTTCATTATATAAATTTATTGTATATAAATATAGACATTTGCATCAAATATATTGTATATTTACATTATATCTCATTATACATATGGTTATATTAATATATATTTCACCATATACTGCAATGTAATAATAGTCGAAATAAAGTACACAACAAACATAATGCACCTGAGTCATCCTGAAACCATCCCTTTCCTCCCAGGTCTGTGGAAAAATTATCTTCCATTAAACCAGTCCCTCATACCAAAAAAGTTGGGGATTGCTGCTATCCACAATTAAAATAAGCAGAAAAAGCTGTTAGTATAGAACTTGGGTGTCACTTGAATTGTTACACCTTTGTTCATGAAAGCTCCAGAGTAAAGTTAGATCAATGAGTCTCGCTCTTTTCAACAATGAGGACCCATTTTTGGTGAAAAAGGAATTTGATCTCCCTTGATAGGAATATTTTTAGTGTTAGTATAAAAAGGGAAAGTGAGTAATACTTTTAAATAAATGAGTTTTCTAATTATGACAATATACACAGTGTAAAATTATTCATATATATGTGTGAAGCATTTGAAAACTATTCACACCTATCCATGTACAACCTTCTGAGTCCCCCAAAAGGACTCTAAGTTTACAAGCTGGGGAACAGGCTTAGACTACCTTTATAAAAAACAAACAAACAAACCTAGAGTTGTGTGATAAAGTGAATAAGTTAGACTTTTCTGCTATGCACCAAATCCCTCAGAAACCACTGCCACACACTGGGAGCAGCCAGTGAGGGAGGGGATTTCCTAATCTTCCTTTCCCTGGAGTTCTTGCAGGTCCAGGATTCTGAGAGGAAACTGGGAGTTTCCTCAGTAGCACTGCCAGCCCATGAAGGGGATGCAGAAAATGCCTCTCAAGTAGACTCTCAAGTAGACTCATTTTGTACATCCATTTATAAATCTTCCTCTCTTGCTTGATTACAAGAAACCCAGAGGTGGGGTGATTGGAACACCCCTCCATTCTGTTACCCAGGTTGCCACACACAGCAGGAGCACTTCCCAACTGCCTTTTATTTTCAGGCGGATCGAACAATATAAATGAGCGAATGCCTAGAATTTGTGCATTAGATTAGAAAGTCAGCCTCACTTCTAACGTTTCTTATTTCAGAACTACCTTGCAGGATTAAATGAGATCAAGTATGTGAGAAGTTATAAAGAGTAAAACGGATACAAAGTAACGTGTCA